TGATGCCAAGATCTACGGGGTGAGACACGCTCTCAAAACACGCGACACCAAGAAGCAATAAACTTCCGGCCACCTCATCTCCAACAAACCATGCCACTCCGCCGCGTAGCGGCGGCGAACGGCTAGTCTTAAACATCTACTGCAGCAACCTGTCTGTCCGTCACACTAAATTGTCGTGCCTGTCACGCTTTTCCGGACAAATCATTGGATAAAATAATTTAAATATTTCTACTGGCTGCCGAGCGCAGCGAAGGTGGCCCCGATTGGCCTAAAAGCTGCCGAGCGCAGCGAGGCGGCCCAAATCGCAACCTGCGGGCCTATGGGCCCGCCTGAGCCACAATCTGCCAGCCTACCATGCGAGTAGTGAAGCGAGCCGTAGCGAGCGGAACGGAGGCAAAACACAAGGAACGACATTCATTCTTTCCCGCCGCGTAGCGGCGGCACTCGGCTAGTCGTGTATCAGGTATACTAACATGTCTGCACTGTACGCGATAACGCTGATATCGTGTCCTGAGTGAACAAAGACAACACAACATTTGTACAAAAACACATCTAGCGGGGAGTGACGGGTCATATTTTTGTCGATATTTAGAGAAGGATTCCACATGGCGATCTGCACAAAAAAACATATATTCAAATCAAGTTATTTTTGAAGCCGGAACATGTGCTCTGACGACGATCTCACTAGATGCCGTCATCGTTGGTGTGTGGCCGCCATCCCGAACGACCCTGAGAGAAAACACTTCCGATTTCAGCTCTAGACTGCGACTCCGAGTCGCTGGCATCAGAGCCACCGTCACTTGCAGCGCGTGCGGGCTTCCGGGCTCTAATTTTGCGCTTGCGTCCTGATTGAGGGATCATAGTCCCATTTTTCCAGTGTTTATGCCAGATATCCCAGCACGAAGTAGGTTCGCCTTTGCTGCAATGCTTCACCTTGTTGCAGAGGAATACGCGTGCGGCTAACTCGTGCCTTGATGTTGTTTTCAGCTTACATTCAGCACAGTAGAATGTCGTTTCCCCCCCTCGAGACGTGGCAGCGCCTTTTAGCACCGAACAAACCTTGCACGCACGCTGCCTACGCTTTCTCGTCTTATCGGAGTTTCCTTTGCGCCACTCGTCGGCCTGTACAGGCATGTGCGCCGCTCGAGCTTGTCGTGCCCGCGTTGGCGTCGCGTGATGTCCGCGGTGGCGAAGAAGCTGCACCCAATCTTCCGGTAGCAACTGACAGAGCTGTAGATGAAGCGTCTTCAGAAAAGTCACGTGGGAAACCCTTGGCTTCCCGGTTGCCGCGCGATGGTAATTGTGCACGATGAAAGCATTGATGATAGCCATGTCTATCAGTCCCAGAAAGAGAGATTTGTAGTACTTCTTGTAGCGCCGAGCCAATTGCAGTGAATACCTAATAATACGTACAATACATGTTAAAACGATGACTTCAACGTGTATATACAGGATATGAATACTTGCCGTTGTAGACGTAACTGGTCGTGAACGTCGACTCCGCCCATGAAAGTCTGATAGTCTTTAACGATCCGTGGACACATCAACTCTGTCTGATCTCCAGCTACTGGATTCCTACGCACGATACGGTCTGGTACTGCACTTTCTCCAGCAGCAAGCAGATACACCGCTTGATTATCCCACCAACGGACGGCCTTGATCGATGGCACCTTTTGGAGGGTGGCTACGTCATACGTTCCTTTGACGATCTGTGCTGGTCGCTTCTTTGATTCCTTCCTGCCGTTTTTAGTCTTCTTTGGTAGAATTGCTTTGCACAGCCCCTTTCTGTTCGTCATTATTGTGCCCAAACTGTAGAAGTTCATGGTCAGCAGCTGCATAGCCAGCACGACAGAGGTGTAAAACCTGTCGGTGACTATGAGACGTCGCTCAGCTGGTCCGTTGACGCCAAAGACTTGACGTAAGTTCCGTACGACTGCGGCAGGTCCCGACTTTTCATCACTGGGTGTGCTACTGTCTTGCATTTGTTGCTTTCCACAATAGACTTCAAACCTGTAATATACACAATAGTTCAAAAGGTTTTAGCACGCCGAAGACACGATAAGGTAACTTTGAAACCAAAAAAAAAGAGCGTGCCCGAACGCACGCTCTTTTCCTTACCTGATGCAGTATGCAGACTTGGAGCAGCACAGCATAAAAAGCTTTGTGCCCCAGCGATGGGGCTTGTCCTTCATGAAGATTCTCATCTTGTTGAACGGAGACGTGCACGGAAGCATCGCTTCGTCAAACGCCATTATTGGAGGTGGGATGAAACTGGCCTGAAATGTTTCTTGCAGCACGTCAATCACCGGGCGGAGTTTCCAAGCTCGATCGGTATGCGCTCTTGCGTCAGCATTGCTGCTAGAGTGGAGATTCCGCGAGATATGATAGAAGCGATCTCTAGTCATAAATGCGTTAACAGCCACGAGGAATAGCACCTTCATCTGTAGTCTTCCAATGGTTATCAAACCTCTCTTTGTTGGGAGCTATCGTTCTTGCAATAAGTAATCCAAGAAAAATAGCAATTTCTCGTCCTGAAATGTCCTTCGTGTTCAGCAGCTTAGTCTTTATGATATCCGGAGGTGAGACATGAAAATCAGGCCTTTTCAGCTTCCTATCTAGCTGCTTGGCGTGTAGACTCTCCACTCGCGCGTCTAGGTTCTCCATAAAGTAGTCGTTACTAGCACCCGCAATTCTTTCTAGTAAGTACGGCGGGACGAACTGAAAAAATGCACCAATTGGGGTCTCGGCAGCGCTCAACGCTGCAGCAGTTGGTCCATGTTCACCGCGAAATAGATCCGGATAGTCAATATTTGCCCAATCATCGCGACGCATGTCGTAGGGTTCATCCATGTATGGGTAAGGCGTCTGATTGTGTACTGGAGACCACCCGTTCTCCTTCATGTCGGCTAAAACATCAGCCTTGAGGTTGCCACGTGCAATCTCGTGAACACCACCTACTGCTTCAAGTAGAGACGCATCAAATGGAAGCTCAGGTGGGACGACATCTTCATCTTCAATGCTGGGATCAGGCTCAGCGAGCTCCAGCTCCTCATCATCGTCGTACACAGAGAATCCTCCCCCCTCCTCGTCCGAATCAAGACTTGCAAAGACATACTTGTCATCGCCGGGCGTTACAATGTTAGGATCGTCTGTTAAAAATATACATGATAGTTGTTATTATCATGTATGTGTATCATGTATACATAGGAAATTGTATATCGTGTACATACAGGTTTGAACCTACCAGATAAAGACGAACAGAAAAACGCAGCGTTCGATGCCGCGTCCCACGCGATCGCCGTCTGCGAGCTGTTGCACATTTGTGGGGCTTTGTGGAGAGTCGTTAGAGTCATCTGACTCATCAGAAGACCCAAACAGTTCATACAGATTGCGCCTTAAAGTGGTTGGCACAGCTGGAAAAATACAACGTTGAAAAGAGTTAGCTACAACACCTTCAAATTGTATGGATGGCACAGTAAACGTACCGGGTGTGTCTGGACTTGACGAAAATAAAGCATCGATATCGTAGTCAGCTTCGTGCGGCGAAGTAGTAATTAGAGGTGCACTGGAGTGAGATTGCATTGGAGAGCTGGGGTGCGTCTGTTGTCGTACTGGGGTGGTTGAGAGTGGCTCTTCACGCACTGTACTAACTGCATAATACACGATAGTGTTAGACAGGTACGGTGTAATGTACAGGCGTTGTAATATATACCTGTTGGAGGTGTAGTAGCGTCATCAGGTGGAGTGGCTTCATCGTCTTGCCTCGAGGATGCGTGTGTGGCGTCGTCGGTCTGTCGTTCATCTTCCTTTTGCCTCGCAAGCTCATCTATACACGCGTCAACGGTTAGGCTCAGGTTTTCAATACATCATTAGAATAAACAACTTACCGAGGTCTAGTCGATCCAAATACGACATCAGCTCCTTCTCCCCTACAAAGAAGTCTATTCCGCGCACGTCTGTCTTGCTTTTACCGGGCTTCAGATAGGTGTGGTCATTTGAGAGGCCTGTAGGAGGCTTGGAAGACCAGCCTTCCTGCCGTAGTTCCTTCCACCGGGCCCGAAACCCCGACATCTGACTGGGAGCGGGAGTTTTCTGAAATGAGCGCCAAAATGAGTGGCGTTGAAAATCCCTGCAGTTTCTTATATTGATTTGGCGTGAACCACATATCGCTGAGTTGCCTCTAAACTTTTATTTTATGAAAAATTGTGCAATGCACCGCCTGCGCACACCGCACCAGGAAGGATGGGGATCAGGCTTCACATACCTATCCCTCTTTGGCTTAGCGTTTGTATGACCGTATACAAAACAAGGTGAAAAACAAGCAGATCATTCATGCACCATTTATCGTGTATTATACAGGATAAGCCCTCCCTACGAAACGTGTATAATACAGGCCGTCGCTTTGGGGGGGTTAAATATAGTCCGGACTCTAATAGGGCGCGTCCGTTAGATTTTGAGAGTAGGCAAAAATAGTGCTCGGCCGATAAAAATTTCTATTGGCCGAGCACTATTTTATGTGTTGTTTTGTTGCTGCTCCGCCAAATTTATTAATTCTAGCTGGTCATAGATTTCTACCGAATATTCTGACCACTTCTAAAATTTTCGAGACCCTTTTTTATCGGCTACGTTGAAGTTGAAGTCCGCTAACTCCGACTGCGTTACCACGTCATTTCTGAATTTGCCATCTACTGCTTACAGCGTGCAAACAAGCAACCAAACGTCAAAACCAAGGCTAACCAAGCCACCGTATACCGCTCAACTACACTACCAACCCGAACTATACCAACTCTCCAGCCATGTTCAGCACGTGGGATCTCGTCCGACCGCGCTTCTGGTACCCCATGTCGTCTCTGGAGCAGTCCATGATGGACCTCGAGCACATGAGCAACCTCATGAGCCGCTCGCGCTTCCCCTTCGACATGGGCAACGAGATGCTGGCGGCGCCCAGCAATGTTGACGACGACGAATTATTCCGGGATCTGCCTGTGCTCTTGCGCGAGCAGCGACCACGACGTGGAGCTGCATGGACCCCGACAACGAGGGTCAGCACGAAGCCATCTGCTCGAAGTGCACGCCCGACGAGTTCGAGACGATGTGGCAGCAAACGCCGTTCGGGGAGGCGCAGAAGAAGACGATCAAGGATCAACAGCGCCAGCAACAGCTGCAACCAGGACAACAGACCAAGACGCTGCAGCAGCAGCCTTCTCAGTCGGAGGCGGAAAAGGAGGAAACGCCGATGGAGTAATAAATGGTAAAGTTGTGTTATAATCATATTTTCCTAGGAGTCTCTAGCGTCACATCCTGTGCTTTTGAACTGATCTTGTCGCTTTGGTCGTCTAAATATCGCGAGAATAAACGCAATGATAACAAATACCTTTTACATAGTAGAACGGTTTCTTCACTTTCATCAGAGGGGATGAATTCTAGAATACAGCACGCCAACTCATAGCTATAACAACCTTGAAGGAGAGGTAAGAGATGGATAGGAACGAGACAGATAAACCGTATGGAGCGAGCTCACGAATTTGCTGCGAGTGGAGAGTTATCGTTATATGTTTGTAAGAAAAAAAACCCAGAAAAATAGGGGTAGTAAGTACATCTTGATCCGAGCGAACAAAACCAGTGATCTGCATTTGATTACGATTCATTTATTGGTTTTGAGGCAGGCATCCAAATGGTTGGTACCCCTGAAGTTTTTTAACTTGCAATGAAGTTGATACATACGAAACTGCATCTACTTGAATCATGCATCGAGCCAGAGACAAACCAAGTTCGTAGCTTGTTTTCATCTGTACCTGTTCGGGTTTGCTTCTGGTCGAGTAAATGCTCCCGCACTTACAAGAATCACAAATAAGGTAGTCTGCGATAAGAGCATCCTAGAAGTGTTTACTCATCGTACATGTAGGAGTGTTTGCAAAATCAACGATATTCAAGCAACGATGAAGTGGTGGAGAGCTATCAGCGGTGGAGAAGGAGATATGTTTTCTTGCTTGTATGTAGTAGAGAAGCACTTGTAGAATCTGGCATCGATTCTGCCTGCGGTTATCATAGGGGTCGCTGGTCAATTCGGTAAAGTAGCAGCTCGATTCTTAAGCGGTACTAAGTAGGTTCTTTAGAATGCTCTTATGGCGCTACCTACGTTAGAGACTCTTATACTAGTAGTAAACGCGGGAAACCAGAAGTGAAATATACCTTTACTGGGATAGTGCTACGAGTTCGGTTTTTCTCTGGCTCGATGCATGACACGTGAAGTAGATGCAGCTTCGCGTGTATTTTCACTTTTAGCATGTTACAGATTTGGTAACCTGCATCAAGGACAAGAAATAAGCTTAACGTAGCAGCTCCACTCAAATTTCAGCCTGCCACCATGCCATGTAACTGGAACTTCGCAGATTTCCCGTCGCATCGCGTCTTTCATTTTCTCATACAGCATAAAAATCGGTGTGTAGGACAATCGCACTGTGAGACAGACAATCCTTCGTGTGCTACAACGTGAAGAATATGTCGTGTGCAAGTCCTCGAAAAGATGGTCACATGGGCCCATGCCGAGTAACATGGATTTGTGATCCGACTTAGCGGTATTAAAAAGCTTACTGCGCAATTTCAATAAAGTTACTGCGTTACCGTTCCGGTCTCGCGTGTTGGTGTGAAGGCTGATGAAGTACAATCGTCGCGAGTTTTTTTGGGTGGTACCGTTGAGCAGGGACCCAACAAAGATGATGTCTCAAAACTCACTGCCCTCTTCTGAAATCGTCATTTTCGAGTTTGAGAGCAACTACACACACTGAGCAAGTAGGCAACCAAAGCAACAATCTTCTCCGGAAAGAGAACATGAGCCAAATCCCAGAGCGCGAACAGGCAGCGAGGCAGCACCACGAGACCAAGGGGCAGCCCATAGAAATGAATTTTGAATTTCATGAGCCTAGTCCAACCTCGACCCCGAGTGACCATGACAACGACCCGAACAAGCAAACTGGTAACTTTAATCTCAACGAAAAGGCGACGTCGTATCAGGATCAAAACCAGCAGTCTTCCAGTCCCAATGACCCAGAAGGCCAACAGAACAATCGTGCCTTCTCTACCTACACATTCAGTAAATCGTCCATCCTGGACGACGAAGGTCGACAGGTGGCGAGCATGCAGGGCCGCTACGAGGACTCGTTGGGTCGTATGAAAGCTGTTCAGGAGCGCCAGATCGATGGTACGAAGTTGCGCACGACGTGGAGCAGCATGTGCGAAGGTCAGCCAGAGACCACTTGCTCGAGTGGATCACCGGAAGAGTTTGAGGCCCAGTGGCAGCACACGCCCTTTGGTGAGGCGCAGAAGGCCATTCAGGAGCACCAACATCAGCAGCAATTGGAGCGCAGTGGGTAGCAATCAGGGGCAAGCGACCATGTCCAACTCGAAGTGAGCTATGGGCGGGGGTCGATGAGCGATATTGCCTAATGAAACATTAGGCTCATAAGAAAACAAAAATTATAAATGTGTGCCATTCAACAATATGTCTTGAAGTGCGCATATGCCAACACAATTGGTGTATCCATCCACGTAACGTTAGAAAAAAACTTACAAGAAAATATTTTTCAAAAGTATTGTACCGGTATTAGACACGTTTTAGATTTTATCACATTCTGCAAATCGATGCGAGACGGTGACGCTGAGCAGCCCGTGGTGGCGTCCTTCTCGCTGCCAGCGTCGCCAGTACGCAGCCCCACAGGATCCGACAATGCGTCATTATGGGTAGAAGACACTAGTAAAAAACACCCCGCTCCAGGAGATGCTCCAGACTTTCCCTTAGTGCTCTGGGAGAACAGCAGCACAACTGACCAACACTCCGACTTACCACGTACTTCGTCCGCCCTCGTGCCGTTCCAGAAGCTCCAACTAGACACGAACTTGAACCAGACGACGCTACCGTACCCACGCTCCAGCACGAGCTCTGTGAGCTCTCCACGCTCCTCGAATGGGTCAGAAAGCCCCGGACACAGGAAACCACAGACCCCCACGCAGCAATTAGCCTCAGGCTTCCTGGGCATGGACACGGAGTCCACCTCCCAAATGTCGCAGGACTTTATGAACGCTCTGCGACTCGGAGACCTAACGCAGCAGGAAGAGCCGCAGCTGTCGGTCCGTCTACGAGGCAGTCGAGTGGAGCTGGCGTCGGCCTCGGAGGAGCAAGAGGTGGACTTTCTAGGGCCTGCAGAGAACATCAAGAGGCTGTTCAAGCTGCCATACTCGCAGTCCAGAGTGTCGCTCGCCGTCCATAGAGTCGGCAGCACGCTAGTCGTGGACGGCGAGCTGGACGAGAACGATTTACCCGATGGGTTCGAAGATCTGCCACAAGATACACTGCAGTTGGCACAGCAGTCAGAGGAGACGACGCAGAGGTTGCTGTATGAGAAGTTTATATACGAGAGCACCGTGAACCAACTGCCACCGTCCGAGACGGAGAGAACAGTCACGGAAGAAGGGCAGCAGGGACCAAGTGGCAAGAGTAAGGCGAAAAAACACAAAAAGTCCAAGAAATCGAAGAAAACCAAGCGGAAAAACGACAAAGTGGAGTTGCTGTCGGCCGCGGAGCCACACGAAGGAGACAAAGTGGCCGCCACAGTGCAATCGCCGTCGATTTTTGGGTTTTCAGCAGGTGATGAACCTCCAACCGACTGTCCACCACCAAGCAGCCAGAATGCGTCGCCGCCCTCGTTTATCCCGACCGAGACGAACTGGTTCACGTCCGCTCCACCCTCTCCAGCGTTTGGAGGCGACTCGCAGACGTTCCAGCGGATCTTGAAGTGGAAATTCAACGACCTCAAGATGGTGAGAGCTCGTAGGATTCCCGTGTTTTCTAATGCTCATACTAACCTCCGTCAGTTTTTAGATTCTCGGCAGTCAAGTGCTTTTGTTCAGCAACCAGGAACACCCTGCAGTCTCCTTGAAGCTCCACGATATGGACGAGGAGCTGTCGCTCTGCACTGTGCTGGACTACTATCTGGACAATGTCATCGCAAATATCCCAGAGCTGGCGATCTGCATGCATTCCAAGGGCCTCGTCCGTGGCTACAAGCTCGTGGAGACGCGGCAGATCCCGTACATGTCTGGGACTGGTCGTGCGCTCTTTGACGTGCAAGACGTGAGTATGAATGCGTCGATGCTGCTCAAGTTCCTCCAGGAAAACTGCTCCAGACCCAACGGCACATACTGGCTGCATCGAAAAGAAGGCGAGAGCTCCTTGCGGCTCTACGACGTGGACGTCTTGTCGCAAGGTAGTCAACTCAAGTGGAAGTACATGATGGCCATGCTCTGCTATCGGTTTGCCGCTAGAGCTTCGAGACTCGCCAACTCGTTGGCAGCAGGAACGCCACAACTGCAGCAGCAACTTCAGCAACGACAGCGAGAATTACTACGCACGTGTATGAGTTTACTGGGCGAGATCGCGCAACGAGGAGGCGCTGCGCACAGCTCCATCTGCTCGTCTGTGAGCGAGCAACTTGCGGACACGTATCTTCGCGAGTGCAGCCACTTCCACTCGACCGAGTCGACGTCCGAAGACAGAGACGCGGCTATTGGATCGCTCGAGAAGGCAAAGCAGTACTTGCTCTCAAGCATCAAGCTGTTTGAAGAGTGTATCCCGAAAGACACCGGCCCCGCGCTGACGCATAGTGACGATGGACTTGATCTCGACTTTGAGGCAGATGAGGGGGAGATGGGCAGCTTTATGGACGAAGAACTGAACCGGCTACAGCTCAAATTCAGCTCTGCGTGTCTTGAACTGGCGCAGCTGTACGCTGACAATCGCAAGTGGACGGATGCAGTGCGATGTGCTGTTGAAGCCAGCCAGTTTCTAACGCTGAGCTGTATCCCGGAGGGTGTACAGGCCGTCGAGTTGTCTTCACGAGATCAGGACGATGTAGTTGACGCTCTGCTGGAGAAATTGGATTTTGATGGAGTTGGACGAGGAGGATTCTCTCAGGACAAGATCTCGATATGTGTCTCTGGCGCAGAATTGCGGTGCTCGTTGCTGGGGCTGATTGGAGACATGGCTGCTCAGAGACCTGAAGGTGTTTATGGCCGTCTAACAGTTCTCTACGAAATTATATCGGGGGTGAAGCGGGAGGAACTCTCAAGTTTGTGTGGTAACGCGAGTGACTTCTTGAAGACTTGTAAGGAAGACACAGAGAGCAAGACGAGTATGGGTGAGGGTCTGATGCTGTTGTCCTTCCTCGCCTACTTGCGTGCGCTATCGCCACCTGTGCACTCGGAGCTTTATTTGTACGTATCTGCTCGCTCTCTTTAGGTGTTGCAGCAACTAACGACGTGTATGTTGGATGCTACGTAGCATGATGATGAAGAAATTGGGCAACGCAAGCAACGAACTGGGCAAATATTTCCTGGCTGCGAAGCAAGATTACAAGGAAGCTTTCAGGTGGTTTGAGCGCGGCTGCAAGATCTTTAGCGACATCGAAGGTATGTTGACGATTGCACGCTCCTCGTCACGTTTCTCTTTCTGATATAACAGTTTTTTTCTTTATCAGATGGAGTGAACGTGGCTTTGCTGCGCGCCAACCTCGCCCATCTCCACAAGATTTTCGCTCAAGATAAACCTGCGGACTCGAGAGCGGAACACTACCGAACGGCGATTCAACTTTGCTCGGATGCTCTGCAGCTGCTCAAGCAAAGCAAAGCAGACGTGGATCTACACAAGAAGGTGAAGGGAGAGCTGGCTCTCACGTATCTGGTGTGGGCAGTGGACGTGGCGAACAACACCACTGCAAGCTCTCCCAAGGCTCGCGAACAGGAAGCCCTCAAGGTGTTCAACAAGGCACTGTCCTTCTACTCGGAACTTGGCGACCAGAAGCAAGTCGCGTCCACTCATTACCAGATTGCCTCCTTCTATAGCCGCATGATCTCGAGCACGCTACGTGCTGAAAGGGAGAGCGCAGCTCCCGACAAGTCTGACGGACCTTCGTCAGCCTTGTCTAGTCGCATGGAGATCGCCAGACGACACTATGAGAAGGCCTTACATTACTTCGGCGCAGTCGAAGTGGGCAAAACCTTCGTGCTGATTTATCAAGAGCTGGCGGATCTGCACATCCTTGGCGGACATGTGGAAGGCATTGAACACGCCTTGTTGATCCTGTTAAATACGTACGAGGCCTTCAGTCACGCAGCATCTACGGGCTCGAAGCTTGACGAGAAGGACATGACTTCTCTAGCTTGTGACATTGTGACGAAAGTTAAGGCTGTTTTGCACCAGCTCATTCGACTGAGTTCGGGTGGACGCACTAGCGGTAACACTGCCACCACGAAGAACAAAAAGCTCGACATGTTCAAGAAAATGTACAAAGAGGTGATCTACAATGATGGATACAGCGCAGGAAGCATTGTGCTGATTTTGGGAACCCTGCGCGGGATGTACGTAGTATAGAGGATACATGATTTACAGCCCGTCAACAGAAGGGGATTGGTCTACAGTTTGCAATCGTCGAAAGCGTTCATGCTACGGTAGTAAAATACTTATAACCACACTTACGACGATGCTCTTTAAAATCGCACAGCCGGATTCGTAGTACAAGTTAAAGGAAAGGCTTGGTTAATTTATGTTGTTGTTGTTGAAGCCGGTATGGCTGCCGCACGTTGATTGGGTAGAGATAAGCAACTTCCGACATTTGTATCGGCTTCGTCGTACTTTAGGTATGCAACTGGTCGGATTTTTTTTCTTCAAAAACCTGTAGCTCGACACCTACCACTACAAGACTTTGCCTACTATGACAAGAGCTGATCTTACTACAAAAGGAAAGGTCAAATACATACTACGACGGGGCCGGAACTACTTCAACAAGACCATTATCTACGACAGCAACACGGTTCCCGATTTTTTTTAGATCCGTAAAGAAAGGTCGAAGGGTTTTCTCCATCACTTCAGTAAATTTAGATTTGACCGAGACGCGCGTCTCACTTATTAACTTAATACGTCATGTCACGGCCACCAGCCTCATTACAAGACTGCTTCACACGTAAGGAAACCAGAGACAAACAAGACATTCGCTGCTCATTTCAAACGATTCGCAAAATTCTAAATTCAATGAGTTCTCAGATTCCACTAGCACACGATATTCTTAGTTGCCATCTCTGAAGCGGCGTAGATGGAGCGTGTGTCATCATCTTCGTCGGTCTCTCATCAGACCGCAGAGAAGATACGCGCTGTTGTCGCTATAATAGTTATTTCAGAGATTACAAGCGCAGCGATAGAGCTGAGCCTGACTATTATTAATAGTGGCAGCTCCTAGTTGATAGCGATAGCGTACGGCAATCGCCTTTGGCCGTCAATTTATGAGAGATCTGATAATAAATACAGTCAGAAGTGGACTGCACCGATATCCCGAGAAATGCTCACTGTGACCCATCTTCATCTTGCACGCACGAATTGGTTAATTGTCGAGTGCAAATTGTGGATATCTGCTGTTTCATCTTTCGACTTTTATGGTATGTGCAGGACAAGTGGAGGTATTAACTCTAACGTGAATGCTTTTAACCTGGGGCCGGTTAAGACCGAGCCGTACAGAACCAGCAGCTACTATTTCTAACGGAACCTACGTGCTCACTGAGCGCGAACCCGATATTGCAGAAGGGCGCAGATACAATTTACACCGCCTTAGCGAGAGCGAGACGTCCATTGATGCCTACTTCATCATCAAAAGTGGCTAGGTGTTGTGTATCGTTTGCCAAGGACGATGATTTTGTTTTTCCTGGATGTAAAAAAAAAAACGGTTTCAAGAGGGTCAGATTGGTCGCATACTTTTCGCAGGACTGGTGCCCAGCATAGGTTTATGCATTTACTGTACATGTACTGTAGTACCGGAATAGCATTGGTCGTAGCGTATGGTGGAAAAATGAAGTTTTATCGGACCTCACTAAAATGTTGTTTTGGTATTTACAGCCAATGAACTAGTTTGGTTAGTGCTACTTTTGTTGTAGCACTAGCCAATAGCTTTCAAGATGATAATAATATTCAACCAATCGAATTGAATAGGGGTAGACGAGTCCTCTGTACCACGTCCGATTGATACGCAAAATATATGTATGCCTATCCAAAAACTCTAAGTCATTGATATTTCACTTGCATATTTTGCTTTTATCGGACCAGTGGACCAGTGCCATGGGCTTTGACGAACTACAGCCTGGTAGCCCCATGAAGGCTAATGCAACAGCCATCGGTGCGTTCGTCAAATCGGAACCCCACAAGTCCAGCTGTGAAGCGCATCGAAGCGGCTGTTGCTCACACTGGATGCTTACCAGCCGAGCTGCTTGCATGGTCCTCGCACCTGGCAACTCCATTCACTACCTGTGAAGCACCAAAACAAGTAATGCACCCACCCACAACGACGATGAACACCAGGAGAACCAAGCGAGAACCAGAAGACCATCGACCACCAATCGACTGTGATTAAGCACTTTATGATGATCATCAAGCGACGGGACGCTCGCATGGATCCACTCGAAGCATAGCAAAACAGCGAAGCTACACCAGGAAAACGAAGCAGTCCAGATAAAGGAACAGATGAGGTAAGCACGCCAAACAAGAAGCAACGCCGGGGTCTCCAACTCACCTTTAGGCTACCTGGTGTACGTGGTACGCTCTAGATTCACGCTGGTACGCACTAGCACCAAAACAAAAGCGGCCGAGAGCGAAGTTGCTGGTGGCCTTCATGAAGATTTCTCTTAAAGACATCTTCGTTCTTTGCAAAGAGGCTGACGACGACTATCGTGACTGTGTTCTTGAGGTAGACAAGAAAGCAGAGAAAGCCGTACTTGCCTTCCTGGATGGTGAGAAGAAGATCAGCTCGCGTAAGTCGAGCGCCGTCCTTAAGTACTTGCAGGCTCTTCACAGCAAAGGAGACCTAAACGACAGAATCTAGCGCCACCAAAAACTTCTTCAGTCTGCCGCCATTCACGACCCCTCTCTTGGCTACACCCCAATACGTTTTAGAAGTTAAGGATTAGCAACAGGAACGCATAGCTTGCAAATTCTTCATACATGCTTGCCATAACGCACACAGCGCAACCACATCTTACTTAATCCAGATACATAAGCAGGTAAAGCACCACGCCTTCAGCCACTAAACCTCTGACAAGCCTCCACCCCACAAAAAAAATATGGCGACGGCTGGATGTGAACCAACGTCCTCAAGGCATAACTCTGTGCTCTTCCACTGAGCTACGTCGTCGTTGGGTGAGGGGGTGGGGGGGGTGGGTGGGGGGGGGCTGAGGAGCGATTCTTGATTGGCTGACAGCTTGAGCTGTGGGGCCTGAGCGGTCGAGTTGGAGGTCTGCGAAGTTGGGCGAAAAAATTAAGACTGAGCGTAGAGGCCTCGTTGTCGGGACCAGTTTTGTGTATTTTGAGCTCTGCTAGGCTGTGAGTCACAGGTTGGGTGCGAGTCTAAACATTTTTAGGTGGCAGGATAGGATTGGTGAAAATCGACCAATTAGTGCGTACATCTGTAACTGGCTGCGTTGGTGCTCTTAGTAGTGGACCCCACCACAAAAATTGGGGCTCATTGTTGAATTTACCAGACCAAAAGCACATGGCTCCTGGTCGCAAAATGCATGTTTTTTTTGGCTTTTTCAGGCGGTTTCAGACCATTCTCTTGCGTCTCTTAGCAGCATCTCGAAGTGTCTGCCCTATCCCCACGCAGTACCGCAGTTGTCAGTAACATCTACATTCAGAAGTGTTCGTACGGTGTTTGTTTTTGCAATTTGTACCAGCTTCGATGTACAGGTCCGAGGGTCCGATAAATGTTGGTATGGTTAAATGGTGGACTAGCTGAAGTGCAAGCGAGTCAACAGAGATAGTAGTTCGATATCTGCTTGATCATAGTTGTCGAAGTGAAGACGCACAGCTAGCATACTCTCTGGCCCCAGACTGTGCTAGCTGGGTTGGTTGCTTAAGTACCTCCTATATTAGAAGGCGGGATGTTGTGTCTTCCCCGCCAAAGCAACTTCATGGTTATTATGAGACCCGATGCTTCCTGATGGTGGGTAGCATTCACAGCAGCAAACGGACACACACGCTTGTTGGGGTGTACAGTAGTGACGTAAGCATAAGGACATATTTTTCAGAAATCATGACCGGCGTAGGTTGAGGAAAGGGCTGAGCTTTGTCATGATCAATCGTTGCAGTAGCGCAAGCCACCGCTGCAGCGAGAAATATCGTGGCGAGCGCTTGGGGGTTCATGGCGTCAAGATCCTTAAGACAGCTATCTCTTTGTTCTCTCGTATGTCCATGGGTCTAGAACAGATACTAGATTTGGTTTTAAATCTGCTGAAACAGCAGTAGACCAACAGAAGACAACCTCTGTGTATTAGATGGAGCAGCTTCCAGCAGCTGTACCCTTTCTTTGAAGTTTCCAGCATCGACAGATAGGAAATAACTGTGCTAAATGTATTGCCCATCTCGTCATCTCTTAAAGCAAAGATGCTACTTTCGTCCAAAACCTATGCGAGATGGGCAGGCATCTTTAAAATGGGCATGCTAGAATATATTGGGCAACTATGCCGACTTTTAATAAAAAGGCCCATTGTTAGTTTGAAGCGTCACAGTTGAGAGGAGCACCATACGAGTGGCAGGACTGACCCCCACTTCCGTATCGCCGTGTGCGTTTGCGTCTCAGCTGTGTGAGGTATAGCTACCACTGGTCCGAATAATATGGAGGGGAGAAACCCCAGTGGTGCCTCTCCTTATGAGACTATACAGCGCACCGGTGAGAGCTCAGAGAAACCCCGTACATCACCAATTATTTCATTATTGTCATAGGCTGGAATTTGGACTTTAAGATAGTGAGCAAAGACCTGGAAATGGTGCAGTGATTGCTGCTGCATGTCGTTTCTGCATCAAGTTCGGGCGTGAAGAAAACGTCAACTCTAAGAGCAAGCCTAAACCTAATACGAAGTGCTTTCAATTTCCATTCCGACCGAAGCATTATCGGAAGTACCTGGAAAGTCAGCATCCCAGTCGGTGGATTCATTACTCTGCTCTCTCTACTAATGAAAATTAGAGTATTTGACGACGTCACTCCCAACCAGTCTAGCATCCTCGCCTTTGTTAGTGAAAGTCAATCCCCGCATGTCTACATCTTAGACAGTGATGTTGTGGATAGCGTGGCTGGACGTATTCTACTATGACGAGGCAGTATGATAGCGCGACAAACGGACAATCATGCTTTTAAGTGATTCCGGTTCAGCTAACAATAAAAAATCCGGTGCAATTTCACCTAGCTGCTGACTATTTAAACGCTGGTATGTCATTTCGGATGACATTATCTGCTTTGACCAATATAAAACAGCGAGCTGGATTGGCATCGATAGGATTCTGCACGCCAGAACTGCCATCTACCCGTTTTGTGTGGGTAGTAATTTTTTAAAAGATAAAAAGCTACTTTCTCAATCCAGTTAGCGCTGAACATGTCGGCACATTTGTCTTTTTCGTATTTAGACACACGTATCCGCCTTTACCACTGTGGGAGAATATATAACCTGTATTTATTGACGATCTCGATGCGTGTGAGCCATAAATGAGAGGCAATATTTATGTTGAGTTGTTGGAAATTTGAAGAGTGAGATTAATCGTGCGCTAGCTACTTGTGGTCCTAGTTCGAGCTGATCTACATCTAGCCTGAAGCAAAAGGGTAACGTCTTGGGCAGCACGCTGAAGCGTGCTGCATGCCACCAATCGCAGAGCCACCTGAAGGAGCATGGTGCCACCGACCAATATTCTTCTGTGTGGTGCGTACGTCTTGCCTGTACGTCGTAATCAACGGTAGATGACTACATGTTGACGTGCCTTTCAGCACTCCCACTCACGTCAGACTCCCCATCGACTGATGAAGAATTGGCGGAAATGCGTCGTGTGCCGTATCTCCATAAATTTCCAACGACTCAACAGGCTACGAGTCCAAGGCGCTTCGACGAAGAGTACCATGAAGAAGCCCGACGACCTGCTCCGTTCCGACAATTACTTCCATTGGGAGTTTAATATGAGGATGACACTCGCACGAAAGGGCCTCGGGGATTATTTCACCGTCGTGAAGCAAGAACACGAGATGACTGAGGCGTGGAGGTTGAGTGACCAGAAGGCGCTGGCACTCATCGCTCAGGGGGTGTCTCTGGAACACTAGACCAAGATACGCACCGCTGTTACAGCGAAGCAAGCGTGGGACACACTGAAGGAGTACTACAACCGTTCTACCCTGCAGAATCGCGTGACGATGACCCGCAGACTGCACGAGTTTGCAATGGAGCCACGACAAACTATGACCACGCGTCTTGACCGATTCGACGAGTTGGTAACGGCGCAGGCGGCTGTTGGCGACGGGATAGATGACGCACGGCAACTGGTAGTGTTGCTCGGCAGCTTGCCTGCTGAGTACAGCACCATAGTGTCGATTGTCGAGAATACCCGAGACGTAGCTCTCATCGAAGTGAAGGAGAAGTTGCTTAAGGAGCACGACAAGCAAGCAACTCAAGAGTCGGAAGAGGCGGCATTCAAGGCCCGCCCTAACTCACGAACAAAGTCGAAGGTGCAGCCGAGGGCTACCAAGATATTCGGTGGTCCATCCAAAAATAAATTTGGTGGCAAGTGCTTTGCTTGTGGAAAGCGTGGGCACAAGGAGGCAGACTGCAGAAGTTCTCACCAGAATGGCGGCGACGAGACGCTGTTCATGGTTCACCAAGGTGGTGGTGAAGGGTGGCTGATTGACAGCGGTGCATCTTCGCACATGTCGCCGAAAAAGGAGGATTTTGTCACGTACCGAGCACTGAAGGAGCCTATTCAAGTAACCGTCGCAGATGGTGCTGTAATGGAGGCGGTGGGTATTGGGAGCATCCACATTCGGGGTTACCAAGACCAACGAATCGTTGTGCAGAATGCACTCTATTTTCTGAAGCTCGATCGTCGTTTACTGTCTGTACCGCGAATCACTTCTCGGTCACTCGTAGTGAAGTTTGGAGCCACGTTTTGCTGGTTCATGCGAGGAAATAAGACGATTCTCAAGGTGCCAAAGATGGGCAAAGCTTACGAACTTTATGTTGAGCCCGAACGAGCTGCTGTCGTGAAGCACAAACCCGTTTCGACGCAGTGGGAGTTATGACATGCTCGTATGGGTCATGCTTTGAAGGCTCGCATCTTGAGTACCCTTAAGGCCACAACAGGATTGCCGTCGATCACCGCGAGAGGCGGCGAATTATGCTCAGGCTGCATGATAGGGAAGCACACGGTTAGTAGCTTTCCGGGGAGAACAGGTGCGGTGAAGACAAGTCGCGTTCTCGAGCTCGTCCACAGTGATCTGATGGGCCCGATGAAAACAGCATCGAGTGGCGGATCGAAGTATATACTTCTGTTTGTCGACGATTACTTCCGTTACATTGTTGGCTTCTTTTTGAAGAAGAAGAGCGAGGGGGCGAACTGCTTTCGGAAATGCAAGGCCCTCGTAGAGAATCAGTTTGGTCACCAAATCAAGGCGGTCAGGTCGGACAACGGCACAGAGTACGTCAACAAGACGTTTGACGGTATCTGCAGAGCAAGTGGCATTGTTCACCAGCTGACGACACCGCACACTCCCCAGCAAAACGGCTAAGCAGAACGCACAAACAGAACTGTGATGGAAATGGCTCGCTCCATGCTGCATCACAAGCGCGTAAGTTACAAGTGGTGGGCGGAAGCGGTGAACACCGCAATCTACCTGATCAAGCGTTTCGTGAACAATGTAAATCTCCACGTGACACCATACGAGATCTGTCATGGCAAACGCCCAAGTTTGGATCATCTACGAGTTTTTGGCTCCATTGGCTACGCGCATGTACACAAGGAAAAGCGTACTAAACTTGACGCTAAGAGCTACAAGTGCATGCTGATCGGATACGCAGAGCAGACAAAAGCGTATCGAGTCGTCGACTTGGAGACAGGGAAGATGAAACTCAGTCGATCATTAGCGCTAAATGAGCGTGAAGTTGATGGTGTCTACGCTGGAGCTCCTCGTGACGGACCAATTGAGTACATTGTGTGGAAAGACGTGGACGATGAGCTTATGCAACCAGAGCTGAACGCCGGCAGCATCGACGTGGACATGGACCCTGCAGAAGCAGAAGGAATCACTGACGATGACAGTACCATGGAAGATGTCCAAGAAGCCCCAGCTCAAGTTGCTGCACTTCCCGTCCCAGACGGCATTCC